TAGGTTCCTTCTCTACTATACAATGTACATAGGAATATATTGGCATTGCATGAAGTCTAACTCAAGACATTAAATCACTTAGGATGTAGGTATAATAGAAAGTCTTAGTGCCATTTAACTATAGATATTCAGGACAATTACACTGCTGATAGTATTCTGATTGCAGAACCTGTGACCAAGGACTGTTTACTTGGGACAGAGGGTAAACAATGTTCTATGTCTTGCTCAATTGAAATCTATTTGCCTGTGAGAAGAAAATTTGCTGCTCATTGCCAGAAAGGTGACAGCTTGTTTTTCTTAATACCTACAACCTTAGTTAATAAAGTCTGAAAATAACACAGAGACTTTAAAGAGAAAACACATTTCAGGAAAAGGCCAGAACAGTAATATCCATGAAAGGGCTAGGCATTCATGGGGTCTTTGCCCTGATATTGTGGGTCTGATTGAGACGCTGATGTTGCTCTCCTCTTGGAGGGATTAATTCGTGCAGGGGATTCATTTGCCCTGACTCTGGAACCTTAAGGCCACTTTCCTGTCTCCTCTTCAAGTTCACATACCTATTCTCCATCTTTTCCCTCTAAACTAATGGGATCCTTCTTTTTCTCCTGAGCTAACAATGAATTTTATTCCAAAGAAATGACATAATCATTTTCTACCACTGGCTCTGGAATAAAAGTATCTATATGAAGAATGTCAAAGATGCACCTGATGGCCAAAAGCCCCAAAGAGGGCAGAATAAGATTAACATGGAAGTGGGCAAACCTCTTCCTTGGAATGTTCAGAGTCCTCAGTCATATCTATCTCAGAAGCTTGGAGAAATTTTATATCTATGGAAGAAAGATCAAAATCCCTTTTTCCCTACCCATTGGCCATAGCACATCATTACCTACTGTGTTTCCCCCAAATAAGACTGGGTCTTATATAAATTTTTTCTCCAAAAATCTACATTTATTCATTTATTTATGTACAAAAACATACATTTATTCAGACAGTCATGTCTGGCTGATGATCTTAACTGGGGCTTATGTCTGGGGTAGGGCTTGTATTACGAGCATCCTGAAAAATCATGCTAGGGCTTATTTTCCAGTTAGGTCTTATTTTGGGGGAAACATGGTAGCTGCATAACTTTGGGAAAGCCACCTAATCTCTCAATGCCTCTGTTTCCTGCTTTTAAATAGGGATAGATGAAGTATTATCACTGAGGTAAAAGTCCTTTGGGGACAAAGAACATCCCCACTTCATTTATCCAGAATTTGTTTTCCACTTAACATAAAATGAAGCCTTTAAGCAGGAAATTTCCCCAGCAAGAATGTCTATGCATAGGCTGCAGAAGGAAAATCGATGACTTTGAAAACGGGCTGCATGAACAAAGTTAATATTTTTAGAAAGACTAAACAGAACTGTCTTAGAGGAAAAATGCAAATCTTTTTCCTTCACTTCAGCATCTTGAAGTCTTGAAAATGAGAAAGATTTCAAAAATATTGTTGAAGAAACCAAAGAAGCCAGAAGTAGTTCTGAATAGCAATGGAGAAATTGGAAAATAGTTCTTAAAACAATTAGCTGAGTTAACACTAGGGTGTAGTGAATCTGGAACAGTTGGCAATTGGTCTCCTCCCAAGACATGCTTGGGGGCCACACTTCCAGTGGTAGGTCAGTAACCCAGAGAAGCATCAGGAAGTAAAGAGGCCGTCTGCTGGATCTGAGGCTGAGGCATGTGTTCCCACAAGGAGTCTAACAATTCTGAATCTACTCTCACCCATAGAAAATAAGAGATAACTCAGTCCTCTTTCAAGGATGCCTTTTTATTAACCAGATTTCACCCAGATCGTATTTTTGCAGCTGATTTGCCCTTGAGTTATTTTTCCTGAAGAATTACTGGTACCATAATTTCCCAAGGCTGGCTCTGATAATTAGCAATAAAAGTGAAATCTCAGGGTGCCTCTCCATTTCTAGTAGACCCTGACAGATCTAGGCCAACTAATTGAACTGGAAACCTAATAACTAGGTAACAAATAAGAAGTCACTGTAAGGTATTCCAGAACTTTTGGGGAAATAAAAGATATATGGATGAAGAGCTCACTCTTCACTTAACCAACATTCCCCTAACATTATATCACCAAACTGGCTGAGGACAGCAGAGAGGCTTCTGTTTCCTGCTCAGCCTACTTTGTGCCTTTTGACTGGCACATGTAAGGTTTCTTTCTGGCATCCTCTGAGGCTTTTTATTTTTTTCTTGTCTGGAGACATCACACAAACTTGGAGTTCCAATTTGCTTGCTGAGGAATTTCCCAGGTTTTCTTTTCATCCTAGGGATGATTGCCAAGTTGCTTGTTAACTGGGCTATAACTACATTGGCATTGATGTCAATAAAAGGTGATTTTTGCTTTAATTAGCCTGAATTTTGCTTCATAAAATGGATCAACCAAGATGACTAAGGGAAAGCCAGAGACCCAGAAGTTGTGTCAAGTTTATTTCTGAAGCTCTTTCCCCAGGTTTGATGTCCTGGGCCTCTAGGACGGCAACATTCTGCCCAAAGGTTTGCTGATCCCAGTTCCTTCTTTCCTCCCTCCCTCCCTCCCTCCCTTCCTTCCTTCCTTCCCTTAAGTTACATGTTCTGAGATAATATTATCTACAATATTACTACTCCCTGGACCAACAGCATCAACATGACCTGGGAGCTTGTGAGAAATGTAGAATCTCAAACCCCATCCCAGGCCTGTTGAATCAGGATCTGCACTTTTATAAGATTCTCTGGTGATTCACATGCACACTGACATTTGAGAAGCACTGCTCTGAGGCTTTAATAAGAGACTGAGGCTATAGTAATTGGGGAATAGGGACCTATATTCTAAAATGGAATGGCTGGTAATAAAGAGGGTCTAGAGGCTGTGTGACCCTGAGCCCTTGTACCCTTCTGTTTCAGAGGGATTCTTTTGGGGAAAGTAGAAGTGATTGAATATACAACCTCATATCAGGTGCATAAGTTGGGCATATGGAGGCTTGGTAAAGTCAGTCCCTCAAGACTGTTTTTGTAAACAAGGGGGGCATAAACTTAGAATCCACCCTCCATTTGATAGGATGCCATTGGGATTTCAAGGTTCCTGGAGACTACCAGCACCTGGGGGGTTAGAGGAAGCATGTGTAATAAAGAATACAGCTATAGGAGGAAGAAGGGCTGAGTTCTAGTTCCAGAACTGTCACTACTTAGTTGTGTTGCCTTGAGCACGTCATTTGTGTGGCTGGGTCTTATTTACTTAAAAGGGAAAATACTTTCTGAGCCATTACCTCAATTGAGGCAATAAATGTGAGAGTACTTGGAAAACTGCTATGTGGATTTAAGGTATATTATTTCTTTGGATACCAGTATCTCAGAATTTGGGATAATTAAGCTAGGCTGAAATCATCCATGGACAATCCTGTAAAAAAGCAAATAATGTGCCCCAAATGCAATGGCCTATATAACCCACTCAAGAATAAAATATTTTAAGCACACTGGAACATTAAATGCTAGCATGCAAACAGTGCTAATTACAAATGAATCCATGTATTATACATTCAGCAATGCAATGGGAACGTTTTATTAGTGGGTTAGTTAAGTGTACTGAATGTGTTGTGGCCATGTGCTGAAAAGGTTGCAGTGTGCAGCAGGAAAGAACAACCAGCAACTTCATTAAACAAGATAATGCTTTCCATGGTGAAGACAAATGATTTATTTGGATGAAATATTATTTAAAAATTAGCTGAATTTAGATCCACAAGTGAGAAATATAAAAAAAAATGCATTTGTAGAAATTCAAGCACATTGACATTGACTCATGAGGTAAAAACATCTCTCACCTAAAATAAGGGCTATGAAGCTGCTAAATGTTCTGTTCCACTTCAGATAGGTGTGTTAGTGATGACAGCTGCACTTAAAGGTAACAAGACTATATTCTTTTGAATACTTCCAGAATGGATGCATTATCCTAATTCAAGCTTGCCTTTGAACATATCTGAATTATTGGTGGGGGGGTGGGGGGTGGGGTTGGCTATAGCTGCCAGAGTCAAAGTGGCATCCGTCAGGTTCATCTAAGTATGAATCTGGGGCAGCCAGCAGCAAGGAGCCTAAACTGTTCTTTGGGAGATACTTACCTGAATATTAGTTCTAAGAAAGGGACAACAAAAGAACTCAAAGATTAAAGAAATTGTCTCAGGCTTACACTTAAGAGAACCACTGCTCTGCTATGGAAACACTGTATTTCTTAAGGTGGCAGTACCCCACTTCCATTCCTCATTTTAACTTAGTTTCAGAGAAGTTGCTGTCTCTAGAACTGCACTGTCCAAAACAATAGTCACTAGCCACATGTGACTATTGAACACAATATGTGGCTAGTATGTGTTGAGATGTATAAAATACAACCCAGATTTTAAGACTTAGTATGAAGAAAAGAATATAAAATGTCTCACTAACTTTTACATTGATAACACATTGAAAGTATATCTTGGGTTAAATATATCATTAAATTGATTTCACTTGTGTTCCTTTTTAAAATGTGGCTACCAGAGCACTTACAATTACACATGTGGTTTACACATGTGGCTCGCAAATATATCTATTGAACAGTGCTGCTCTAGAGAATATTTTCTTCCTTTTGGGGCACAGACAATAATGTAATTACAACTATGCTATTAGAAAAGCACTACTGCCTGACAAAAAAAGCACAACCATTGTTTTCAAAGAATCAAATGGTTGCAAAGAACAGACAATGAAACAATAAACAAAACTAAGAAACAAAAGAAAGAAAAATAAAGAAAGAGACTAACATACAGTAATGTAAGGCTGATTAGTTTACTAGACCTTAACCGTACCCCTAGATCTTAACACTCTCTGTTCCATACACGTTGTAGCCTTCTCTGTATGTAGCATAATTTTGAGTGTTGGTGGCAGGAGCAGGTTTAAAGTTTTGGGTGTTCTTTGTAAGTTTCATGCGTTTGGACTCTGCCCGTGATTTGTAACAGAATTCTATCAAAGCCACCATCATGGCCAGCCCCAGACCTCCGACAAGTATATAGAAAACGCCTGCCACATTGCTCAGGCTCAGAGCGCTGGTCTTGTCCTAAGAGAAATGAACAAGGCGATTAGTTCTTGGGGAAAACAACGGCAATGGAACATTATAATACAGTACAACAGTATAGGATAGTTCTAAGTTGTAAGATAACTAAACATTGATGTAAGTGTTATGACTCAACTCTGGCAACTGACTGATGTTTCACAATAGCCAGCAAGATGGTAGATTGTGCTTCTGTTGACAGTTGTAGTCCTCACCTGTATGTTCTTTTATTTTGACTTCTTAAATCCTTTAGTACTTCAAAATAGTGTCAACAACTAAATAAAACAGCACTTGGGCACGGGAGCAAAAGTGTAAACACAAGCACAACTGAGTCCTCTGCCAATCTCAATAAACACCATTTACCAGAGTTGAGCTGTGACATAATCTCTATAAATGTAACACTCTTCATTTGGGAACTTGAAGCACTCTTTCCCCTCTCTGCCCCGCAACACCCCTTTCTCTCTTGTTTTCCTTGTAACAAACTTGTCAACAGCTAGTCTTTAAGATACCAGGTAAGAATATTAGAGGTTTCTGATATTCTTATCTGGGGAGTTACTTCACAAATGTTTATTTAAAAAGGATTAACTCTCCCCTTTCTCCCAGTGGCTGAGAAATTGCTCCTTTTGGGAACTGGTTGCTAAGTGCTCATCCTCATGTCAGCAAGTCTTTGTGCAGCTGGAACAAGGGTGCAACACAAAGAAATGGCTCTATTCCATCTTCCTGAGAGTTTAAGGAAACTGTCAGGAGGGTTCTGAATTGGCTCCATACAAATAAGAAAGCTTTTCCAGGAGGCTGATGATTTAAAAAAAAATCCAGCTCATTTTTAGCTTTTACTCTGGGGAATGTAGTGAGTAATTTAAAAAACAGTACACTTATCTGTTTTCTATTCAAAATAGGGGGAAAATTGAGGAAGCCGGTCAGTGACTTTCAGGTCAAACTGTGCAAATCTGACTAAGCTATCTGCCTGCGTGAAAAAGCAAAAACTGAACTGCTGAATCACGGAAAGAAAAAAGTTCGTGCCTTGAGCCCTACCTTGAGGTAGGACACACCAAAGGCCAGGAGACTTTCTTTGAAAAAAATAAAATAAAATAAAATAGCATTTTGTAGTCTTTTTAGAGAGAATGTAACCATTTTGCTGCTGAATGCAATTGAATGGAATATCCAAATTGTTAACTCAGTGACTTAAGAAACTTATGAAATGATAACACAGTGAGCAGAAGACAGCCATTGCTGACACTCAACACTATGTGGCTCAGCTAGTCCTGGTATCATCTAAAGAATTAAATGTAAAGACGATACAGCCACATCTGGATTCTATTTTCATAGGATCCAGTCCTGTACTTGTTTATCTTAGTAAAAAGGCCAACTGGAATTGAATCACATGGTCAGGAAAGGTGGTATATGTGTGCCTCATGTGTACAACAACCTTGCAAATAAATAGTCACTCTTTTAGGATGAATGACAGCTACACAAGTAAGACTTTCTAATACTTATGGAACAATGTATCATTTCCATAAGGAAGCTGGTGAGGCTATCTGCAAGGATGTTCTGCAGTCCATTGGGAAATTGACCAATTCCTGGTAACCCTCCCTCTGCCATGAGATTTTTATATGTATGTGGTATTTGATGGGGGAAAGGTGTTCTTTGACATAACCCATGTAAGTTGTAGTAACAAGAACAGTTTCAAGTACAATGTATTTAAGTTTCACAGAATTCCCTCTTGCGGGATATAGAAAACCAGTAGCAAAATGGTTCACTGCACAGGGAAAATGAGTGGCATTTCATGAAATGAATTAACTGATACCACAATATTAGTTCAAAAAAAGGAAAGGCAAAAATTGAAATTAAAAAGAACTTTCTTAGGGAGCAAAGAGGGGCAGGCAGGAGGTGGGGAAGAGTGTTTCATGCTTATCAATGGAATGTTATTCTGACAATGTATACCCTTAAGGAGCATGCGAATAAATTTAAAAAGTATTACAGAGATTCAAATGACATCTTTGGAGGACAGAAGTGTGACAGACTTAATGAGATTCGAGATCCAAGTAGATGCTGAACTCCATATAACAGCAGCTGGGGGGAGGCTAATCATTCTGTTTACAGAGACCAGTCTTTGTTATTTATTTCTTTGCTTTCAGATGGGATTGACATAATATATTAATAATCAAAGTTATTTACAACTACAAAGTCTCTGACACTGTAAGAGGTTAAGAAAAAATACTGTCACAACTGGAACTTTGTTTTTTTTTAGTTGTTATTTTTATACTTCTTCTTTGAATTTTGGAAGTGTGAAATACAGTAAAACCCCCTTATAACACAGCTCCTTATTTTACAGCTTTGGAAATGCAGTGGGTCAGGTTGAGCTCCCTAATAACAATAGTTCTCTAGAGTCAGTAATTGATGTCATGTGGCAGGCCTCTGAGGCTGGTATTTGCCTTAGTCCTTTAGTGCTGGTGTTATAAAGAGGTCCCACTGTGTCAGGGAGTGTGTTGGGAAGGAAAGCCATTTTAGGGTAGAAAATAAACAGTGGTTCAAAATGTGATTGCTAATCAGTACAAAAAGACCTTCAGCGACTGACCTTACTCCCGGAGTCCTTGGCTCCACATTCCCCCTTATCGTACCACCATTTGTTTTTCAGCTTGTCTAAGATGCCTTGTTCACTGAGTTTCAATACTGCAAGGTTTACAGGCGTTCTTCACGTGGGAAATAACATAAATAACATTATATTATGTTATTTTATGTTATTCAAGCTTCAAACTACTTTAAAACTATAGAAAGCGATAAAGCAGGGGGCCCTGGCCACAGAGTAATTTTAGACACTGCAGGCAACCTGAGCATTACCTTATAAAAAGCTAACACTACAGCAACGCTATATTTACCAGGGCCTGCCCATATCGCTTTGAGTAATCGGCACACACTGTTAAATAATGAGGATAGAAAAAAGGCACTCCTCAGATAGCCTGTGTGTGATGAGGAGAGTCTCCTCTCAAGTGATAATTATTGGCAGCAGCTTGCAGTAGATTTATGACAGAGGTGTGTTAGGTTTGATCTAACCAGGTGTCTTGTTGTACTTCCAGACAGAAAGCAAGTTCTATGGAGAAGGGGACCAGGCTAGAAGGGGAACTCTTTCCATATGTGAAACTAGACAAAAGGATGAATCAGAACAGAATAGAAAATAGATTCTGCTTGAATAACATGACTTCTGATTAATTGTCCTTTATTACACAAATATCTTGCCAAGCTAAAAATCATTACAGAAAGAACTGTACTCCATACACATCTTCACTCCACAAATTGAATTTTTATGTACATCCCGGTCTTAGTATTAAAAGTGTAATGTGGACCTCTGCATTTTGGATAAGAAGAATGCTTTCAACAGTGGGAGAACTAACCTATGGATTGTTTTTTAAGTTACTGACTGGCTATCTTTCTGAGATGGTCATATGTCTGTAGTCAACTCAGATCACCAGAGGGTGAACCAGATTGTTGAAGAATAGATTATGTACTAATGTGACATGACCTAAAATGGCAAACTGACTCTGCCACTGTGGATAGCACTGTGGAGGAACAGTTTAGGTAAGCTGTTCTGGGAAGATAAGACTTCCTTAAATGAGAGGCTAATATATTTCCCAGGAGGCCAGGCCACTTCTCCTTAGTCCTCCACCCCTTAAAGGATAAGGACTACAGTCAGAGCCACTGGCCAAGTGCAGGAAACCCTGTTGGTCCTAGGAATTTCTCTTAGAAATTTTATCAGCTATAAAATGGGAATAATAAACTGTACCCTGTCATCTTTCTAGAGCTAATAAATTTTAAATAAAGTGTCCCTTATAACTTTGGATAAAATATTAATTATATATATAAGGTGGCATACTTTTATTATGAGGAAATAAACTACTGTGTGTTCAGATTCATGTGAACAATACTGCTAATACTAGTACGTATTATTTTGAATGCCACTAATTTACAAGGAGGAAAAGCAGACATACTTATGTAGCTATGAACATGACATAAAATTTCTTTGCTTATTTTGGATAAGTTAGACCCACCAACATATCCGTCATTGACAAGATTTTCTAGAGTCACAGAGATCTGGCTTCTATCAGACCAAGTCCCCAAAGCCTATTTCCTTTCTTTCCTACTTTGCTGTTGAGAACAGAGGGACCATCTTATCTTGATATATTCTGAGAAATGTATCATCATTTGAAAATGATATGTAATTTCAGAGTACTTGAGATTTGAAAAACTATAAACCTTTAGTGTTCGGGAGGTGACACTTTCTCAGTTAGTGCAAGGCTTGGCAGCCAGAATATTTGCATTTTGTAACTCACCAGGAAATTGTGGCCCTTTTATACTTTAAACAAGTCCCTTCAATCAATGCTCAGAGACTTAGGCTTCTCAAATGCCAACCAGTTGCTTAGAATGTAAAGCAACAGAGGATACTCAAAACTTTAAGCCTATTTAAGATATTATTGGCGGGCTAGCTGAGTGGCTCAGTTGGTTAAGAGCTTGCTCAAGAGTTTGAGCTCTGAGCAACAGTGGTTCGATTCCCAGCCCAAGCTGAGCAGCCGCTGAGCTGCCAACAGGTGGCAGGATGGCTCAGCTTAAAAAAAAAAGATATTATTGGCAGTGAAAGTTAAATCTTAGGCTTTTAAAGGACAGACAGGTCATCTATGGCCCTGAGATCTCTGTTGTAACTGCCTACTCCTCTAATCCCCACTGTTGGGCTCCCTTCTCCCTCCTTTCCTCTTATTTTTTGCTTTATCACCACCACCTCTCCGCCAGTGCTATGCCTTATGCTAGGCACTGGCACCTGGGCTCAAGATTCTGGCACTTAGCTCAGATTGCAGGGAGGATGCTTTCCAATGGCATATGGGTGACCAACTCCATCAGGACCACAGGAAAAAGTACAAAGCATTTCCTTCTTCCTTTCTGTGCTTCTTATTTTCGTATTGCAAAATGATCAGCATCCTCATGCTGCTCTCTGACTAAGCTCTCACCAGCTCCTGTTCTCCCTCAAGAGACTATGTTCTTCAGATTACTTCATTCAATTTCCTCAGTATAGCTACTCTTATTAGACCTCAGGAATAAAGCAATCTGATTAAAGGCACTTACACTAAGGTTTAAATAGTGATCTCTGCCTAGAGATCCTGGGTTTTAAAAAAGTTTGTCGATGTCTGACTGACTTATTTCATTTAACATAATAGCCTCTAGGTCCATCCATATAGTTGCAAATGGTACGATTTCATTCTTCTTTATAGTGGAGTAATACTCCATTGTATAAATGTACCACAGTTTCTTTATCCAGTAGTCAACCAATGGGCATTTTGTTTGTTTCCAAGTCTTGACTATTGTAAATAGCGCTGCAATAAACACAGGAGTGCATATATTTTTTTAATGTAACTACAGTATTGCTACAGGGATATGAAAGACAGTTTGGGGAATATAATTAATAATGTTGTAAATAGTTTGTAGGGTGTCAGATGGTCACGTCTTGTTAGGGAGACCCCTTCATGGATGGTGTAGGGGCTTGATCACTGCACTGTACACCTGAAGCTGATGTTGTATAATACTGTATGTCAACTATAATTGAATATATGTATAGTCACAGGACGTGGAATATAGTGTGGAAGTGGCGTCAAGGGAATTGTAATAGATATATATGATATGGGGGAGGAGTGGAGTGGTGGATAGGGAGAGAGGGGTTGTCACTTTGAGAGGTAAATGTATAAGTATTGCACTGTGTTTCACATCTGAAACTAATTTAAAAAAATGTTTATTTCACAATACAAAAAAAAAGTTTGTCGCCTTTTACATGAGCTAGGTTGAAAGTGTGACATGGTAGCTTAGAGCAGTGGTTCTCAAAGTGTGGTTCAAGAACCCCTGGAGGATCCCTGCAACCATTTCATCAGAGGGTCTGTGAGGTCAAAACTATTTTTATAATAATACCAAGACATCCTTATCCTTCTCACTCTTATTCCCTAATGATGTACAGTGGAGATTCCTAAAGGCTGTATGACATGTGCTATCACAACAGATCGAATAAAACAGCAGAAGTGAGAACCCTAGTCTCTTATATTAAGCCAGAAATTAAAGAGATTTGCAAGAATGTAAGGCAATGCCACTCCTTGCTAATTTATTTTGTTTTGGAAAAATATAGTTATTTTTTATAAAAGTATGGTATTTATGTTAACATATATTAGATTTATTATTTTAAAATGAATTAATGAATATATTCTTTTAAAATTCTTGCATTTTAATTTCTTATATGCTAAATATTAATACATATAACACACATAAACCAAATTTTGAGGGGTTACCTATAAGTTTTAAGTGTATAAAGGGATCCTGGGGCAAAAATGTTTGAGAAGCTCTGGTTTTGGAGGAAGGAAGGTGTTTTCCTCTGCTGGCTCTATTCCGGGCTGCCACCATCCACTCTTGCCAAAACCAAGGCTCAGTATGTTAGCAATTTAGCACCTTAGTTCTGACAAATCATCTATCCCTGCCTTAGGCCATCCAGTGGATTCCACAGAATAGCTTGTAACTGCTCTCTACTCCCATGGCCTGCACAGTTAGAGTGGAGGTTACCTTAGAGCAATGGTATTCAAATGGGAGTGATTTTGTTCTCCAGGTGTTATTTGGCAATGTCTAGAGTCATTTTTCATGGTCACAGCTGGGTGGGGGAATTCTACAGGCACCTTGATTTCAGAGGCCAGGGATGCAGCTAAACACTCTACTATGCACAGTACAGCCCCCCACAATGGAGCTCCAAATGTCAATTGTATCAAGGTTGAGAAACCGTGCCTTAGGGCATCCAGACCTCATCTGATGTACCAGGACTTTAGAGAAATCTGAAATTATATGCTCTTAGAGGTTTAGTCTTTGATGGAAAAAAAAAACCCAGGGCTTATGAAATTTGGCAGGGACCCAATGTGCATTTGGGAACTTCTAAATAAAAATGAAAGAGAAAAAACATTTCAAGCAGCAGCACAGCCAAGGAACATGAAAGCTGTGATCAGAAATCACAGATAATACCACTTAACAAGGTTAGGATAGCTGCCAAGAAAAGAAAGTACTTTAAAATCCAAATCTCCTAGAATAGTATGTTGCTATGGGGTGGAGTACATTTCCAAGATGGCAGAGGAAAACTGCTGTAATTTTCTCTCTTACTGTATGTTAGTAGATGTATTGCCTAGCCCAATCCAAATCAACCAAATCTATTGACGCCCCCCTCACACACACACACACAATTTGGTAAAGGAAGTGGAATTACATGGGCATTTGGTCAATTTAAATGTCACTTTCTCCATGAGACCATTTTTTCTCCCTGCTCCAATATTTTCTCTCCCCTTCTTCTTTTACCTTGCCTAATTATTTCTGCCCATGTTTTGTAACTGTCACTACACTGTGTGCTTTTCAAGGGCAGTGACAATGGCTTATGGATTTGTATCCCCACTTAGAATAATGGTTCTCTAAATAAATATTTGTTGAATAGATAACTGTCTTGTAGAATTTTGTATTTCAGCTTAGTACTCACATAATTATTATAATTATTATTATTGGTCAAGTTTGATGATCACTCTAAGAAGGTAGATTTATGGTTTCTACTTTATAAGTAAAGTAATTGAAGTACAAATATGTTAAGCAATATACTCAAGCTTGCACAGCAAATTGTGGGACAGGCCAGAAGGCAAAT